GCATTTTATAAATCTGTGAAGATGAACTGAATAGTGACGGCTGTAGAAATATCCTAACCTTACTCTTGAAGCGAGTAAGTAGAATCACCGAGAGAAAGTCTGCGTGGTTTTATTTTCCGAGACAAGTTCCTAAATCCGCCCTTGGTTCCTGAGTTATATCAACTCAATAAGCGTTCCATCACAAAGATAACTCCGTCTAGAAATGAGATGATGGACCACGGTGATTTTTTTGCAATCTAAGGAAGGGGGCAGTCTCTATTCTAGCATTTATATATACTGTTCACGATTTACCCAAAATCTTTGATACATAGGTTCTCCAATGCTGCGAAGGACTGTCATTTTTTGCACCCATCCACAAAATGTCTGACAGAAAGGTATTCCAATATTAATACCATTTATTGCACTACCGCGAAGCTCCCCCTTTCCTTTATTAAATTGTAATTTGTGAATCAGAAACCCATTACCGGAGTTATAATTTTAATTATGCGACGGCAACTTTTCTCACTGCCTGCTTAATGCTGTCGCCGATTTGGCTAATTCAACGAATCTTGATAAAGCTCTAATCTCTGATGTAATATGTCAATCCGGGGTCAAACCTGTCTCTTAGAGTATAAAAGTTCTTTTTCAATTGAGTTACTCATAGTAAAATAGTAGTTGAAATGAAGATGTTCGCTTTCCGTCTCTGTAACCGTGGCTAATCGCAGTCAGCGCCGTTTCGTACTCTTAAGCAACACATCAGTGCGGTATAAGTCTAGACTTAGTGACAGACCAACGGGAAGCAAAAATAGTGTGTAGAAACTAACAGTCGTCACCTACCAATGGTTTTCCAGATACTAAAGATGACAGAGGCACATATACAGATGCAAAAACCAAACATGTCAGTTTCAACTTATGTTTATTTATACAGGGTGACTTCGAAGTTGAGTCATTTATTTTAACAGTGAGTAGATCTGATCAAAAGAAATGTTTTTTTCCTTTACCATTTTTCTGGTAAAATTAAAGTAACAAAGTTATAGCCCTTTGGAAGTTTGAGTACCGCCCTGTCTCAATATCATCATGTGCTCGTGTTTGGCAACAACGGATATAATCCACCTTATCGGTTCATCGCATCGGAAACAAAAAAGCGAAAGAATTTGGAACGATGTTTACTTTATTCAGTTCAGTTATACATACAATCAGTCAGTCGCGTGTGAATAGTGTCTGTTGCGTGGCTCAAACGAAATAAAAAATGGCACATGTTTATGCGGATCGGTTTCCCAATCGAGTGCAACCAACCCCTCGTGCCTTTGTTAATAGTAGTACAACGGGCTCGTGAATCAGGTGACTTCAGACCTCACAGGGGACCTCACGATCAAATACAGGTCCGCACTGAAATACTTGTCGGGAGGATACTTTATAAAACAAGGTAAAAAATTTTTTTTATTTTTACACACATATTTTGGTTTATCTTCCTTCTACAATCATTATCTGAAAATTAATGACTCAACTTCAAAGTCACCCTGTATATACATATATATATATATATCTTGAGACGTGGTCATGGTCGTCTAGACCAGTTAGGTGAAAAATTAAAGCTTCCGCCTTTTGTTGGGTACTTCGACAAAAATTAAGCAAGGAGGACTCTTTATACTGTTTTTATTCTCTCTAGCTTTCAATGGACTTTGCCATCATCATCAGGAGCTGCAATTACATTGATAACAGTAGCAACAATAGTGTAAAATGAATTTAAATTAACTTACAGTAGTATGTGAGGATGTTGCTAATTGTTGTTTACGTTCAGGATGAGGGAACACCCAGTAACATGGTGAAAGCTGGATAAATGGTACAATGGTCAAAATTATATAAAATACACACAGCTGTATGAAAAGAAAAAGCTAAAAACAGATTAAAAAATTTTTTAGAACAGTTGTTGACAGTTGGCCGAAGGTTATCAGTGTCTGTATAGAATGATGGAACGAAAATTCTTTTGTGGGCGTGTGCTACGTTACCAAATCACTTCAGATGATGTGATTTTCAAAATGTGTTAGGTAATAAATTGTCAAACCGACCAGAGGCAGTTGAATTGACTATATTTTATTAATGGGCAATTAAATTAACAGTTATTATTTAATAGTGAGGAAAAAGTTATTAAAATTTGAATAGAATGGAGTTTATTGGTGGAATAGACCAAGAAACAGATTCCATTTATGGTTGTGAAGAGTCAAAATTTGGGGAGATGTGTAAGTGCTCCAATTTTTCGCAGTTTAGCAAATATGAGTAAATGACACTCAGTTGCTTAACATCTGTCTTCTTATTGATACAGTTGTCATTCATGAAAATGTGGGACATTTCCAGGAATAAACGTTTGGATAGGTGTTTTCCTTTATCGAGAATTTTCATACTTGTGTAGTTCATAGAGTGCCCTATTGTGTTGACATGAGATGCTAGAGCACATCTTTCAGGATGAAGCCTAGAATCACTTTTGTTTGATGTAATTCTTCCTTTAAGAGATCTGGAGGTCTGACCTATGTATATTTGGTTGCAATTGTTGCAATTGATAGAGTAGACTGTGTTGGTTAAGCCAAGCAGCGGGACTCTGTCTTTCATTTTTGAAAAAATGCAGTTTATAGTGAGGACGGATTTGCAAGCAATTCTACAGTACAGCGGACTGCATAATCTGATCAGCTTAGGGGTCAGTTCCTTGATTTATGGTAGGACAGCAAAGCCAGATCTGGAATTTGGAATGGTGGTTGTACTGTTTGAATTGGTGTTGTTGTTGGGAATTCTATCAGTTCTATTATTAGGAGTTGTGAGACCATTAGTTGTATCATTAGAGTTTGGTAAAATACTGGGAGGTGAGCTGAATAAGATCTTGTTAATCAGACACTTCGGATAACCATTGTTAATGAACAGTTTTGATAGTTTACGTAAATTTGAAGTGTGGAAAGTATTATCTGAGATGCTGGTTACCCTTGTTTTCATCTGTTTCACCAAGTTGATTTTAATCCCTAGCTTATGGCATGACCTAAAATTGAGAAACCGGCCTGAGGCCATAAGTTTCTGGTACCAGTCTACCAATAAACTATTGTTGTTGGTGCGGATGAGTCTTGTGTCTAGAAAGGGGACAGACAGGTTCTCATCTTCTTTTTCAATGGTAAATTGGATGTAGGGGTCATAGCTGTTGATTCTCCGACAATACCATCCAGACCTATGGAGGGGAGGCATAAAATAATGTCATCTACGTATTTTTTTATGAAGAAGAGGTTATAGGGTAGTGTCGGAATAACAGTATCAAGCAGATCATCCATGAAATATTCTGCCAAAATTGGTGATAGAACAGATGTGTATCTACTTTTGTAACGGGTGGGCCATCTATCGGTTTCGATTTGAACCACGTGTTAATTTGACGCTGACAATACTTATGTCAATCTGATTTGTCATAAAATTCAGTATATTATCTCCGCTGAACGAAATGAATCGATTTACGCTTGAGCAACGTTGGGTAATATTGGAAATTTATTTCCAAAACAAAGACAATTGGGCAGAAATTGCACGAAAATGCCGTTCAAAATTCGGTCGCAACGAAGCACCAACAGCGCCCGGTATACGCAAGTTTATTAATAAAGTGCGTGAAACTGGTTTCATTGTTGATGCTCCAACACGTCAGCGTGCTCGTACAGTGCGTACACCCGAAGGTATCGATGCTGTGGCTGCGAGTGTGCGTGAAAATCCATCAACGTCAACACGTCATCGTTCCCAAGAATTGAACATTTCCCGCACCAGTTTACGACGAATTTTGCGGAAAGATCTCGGTATGACGCCTTACAAAGTTCAATTGGTTCAAGAGTTGAAGCCGCGTGACCATCCACTTCGTTCTGCCTTCGCTACATGGGCCAACGAGCAACTAATCAATGATGTCGATTTTGCGAAAAAAATAATCTTTTCAGACGAAGCTCATTTTCATATTGGTGGCTACGTCAATAAGCAAAATTGCCGTATCTGGGGCTCGGAAAACCCACACGAGGTCTTAGAGAAGCCAATGCATCCCTTGCGAGTGACTGTTTGGTGTGGATTGTGGAGCGGAGGCATCATTGGCCCATATTTCTTTGAAGACGGGGACGGCGCAACCGTTTCTGTCAATGGAAACACCTATCGCACCATGATAACTGATTTTTTTGTTCCTGCTCTTGATGGTATTGATGTGGAGAATGTTTGGTTTCAGCAGGATGGTGCAACTTGTCACACATCGCATGCCACAATCAACTTATTGCGCGAAACCTTCGATGGCCGTTTAATCAGTCGAAATGGTGATGTCAATTGGCCGCCAAGAAGCTGCGATTTGACACCATTGGACTATTTCCTGTGGGGCGCTGTTAAAGACAAGTGTTATGTCGACCATCCAGAGACAATTGACCATTTGAAGGCCAACATTCGTGATGCCATTGACGAGATACGGCCCCAAACACTCGAAAAAGTGCTCGAAAATTGGTCCGATCGAATGGGCTATTGTGAGGCCAGCCGCGGCAGCCATTTGAATGAAGTAATATTTCATTTCTGAGCGGAACAATTGTACTTCAAAACAAAAAAATAAATTTGGCAATATCTCAAACCGTTTTTGTTTTATTTTATTTTTAAATCGAAACTTTTAAATGGCCCACCCAATAGTTTCATATGTGCATTCATTTCGGGCCTGATGAAGCCAACCAGCAGAAATACGTATCGCTCGGGTTACCTATCCTATTTTCTGCTCGAATCCACTATATATATATATATATATATCCATTGCTGATTTGTTTTGGGAATACTTACTATTCCGACTCCTTGACGGGTCGATCGTAATGGTGTCGCAACATCTAGGATCGATGAGTTATGAGCCAGAGACGTAGTGGTCTCTTGTCGTCTTCGTCGTATAAGATGAGGATGAAAATGAGCTTGGGAAACCACTGGCAGGTGGCGTTTGTCATATTTTTACCAACTTGCGCACAATGAAACAGTTGTATGAATCACCTGTCACTACTGCATTAGATTGTATTGAACCTTAACTATAGGTCTTATCACGGTAGGTCTAAGTTAAACTACTCGTACAGGATTTACCACAATACTACCATCTTCCATATAGAGACGTAGGAAATCAACTTCTACGCGCGGACGTTTGCTTTTATAATCCCACGGCCATCTTTTATTTTTGTCACGTCGCCTCCAAAGTTTTCACCTCAACGTACAAGTCTTTCACATTTGTACTTGTCACTTTCATTACAGCGTGCTTCGCATGGGCGTCGGATTTGACTTTATCTTTTGTTGATATAAAACCTAGCAACGCCTGGAGATACAGCAACAATTTCAGATAGTCTGTTTTAAATTTAATTGAGTATGTTCAGAATGTGAATGAAACTAACGATACTCTATTGCACAATTCATGTGTGTACAAGAGCGAGTGGTAGCTGCGTTAAGGATCAGCTTGTTTAGTGCATAATTATCCTTGGTGGAGTTAAGCTCCGAATATGGTACAATTACCTATGTACTTATTTCGTAGCACATTGTGACATAATCCCAAGAAACCGTAAACAGACCTAATCTCATGTTTGGCTCATTGACTCTCAAACATTTGAAGCGCCTTTAAACATCTAAGGATGCCTAAGACTGCCTTAATAAGACGAGTAGAAATGATTTAATTCAGTAGAAAACCAATATTCCAATTGATAAAGCAACAAAACAATACAGTACAAAAATGAAAGATGCTACGGACTCTCGCAATTGCTATTCTAAGGCTAGTATTTATATTTACAACCTTTCCAGAAATCTATAACTTTAAGGGTTTAATAGAAATGCAGGAGACGGTGCATTTTAACAAAAATTCAGTTTATTTCAACCTTTCCCAATTTGGCCAATATCTCCATTTAAAATAACAGTATCACCAGTCCTAAAATAAGTCGTAGCATCTTTGGCACCTACAATACATGGAAGTCCATATTCCCTGGCAACAACAGCACCTGAAAAATATGGCTATAGTATATTCAAATTTCATTTACTCTGCGTCATAACAAACACCATCACGAGATCACCGCGCTTCTATTGGCTAACAGATGGGATCTCGCTTCTATTGGCTAACAGACCATAAATGCCTGGCCAAGCGAATAGAAATGACCATCGAGTTCTCGTCTTTGCTTTGATGTGGAGTATATGACGTTTGACTATGTTTTAGGATTACTGAACTGTCAACCGCAATCACTTCGAATACTTGTCACCAACAAAAAGATAATGTTCTCTTACCGTGGGACACCAAGCCTCCTAATTCTGTCACGAGTCCAGACAGCATTGGAAAATATGGTGACCAGCCAATGTCTGTACTATACGTGATCAGGATGTCCCCTAAAATAATACAAAGTAGTGAATACGGAAGCGATATCAATAACATGCGAATATATGCTGTTTGGATTCAGATATAAATTAGTAATTGCAAAGATTCAGTTTGTATTTAAGAGAGCTCTGTTGTTATCACCCTGGAGTTGATTCAAGTAAATCTTCAAACAATCACGTACCTGTTTGAAGTTTATCAATTTCTTCCAAAGTATTTATAACACATGCTCTTGCTTTGACAACTCCTGTACATACAGGTGTTCCTCTACATACACCTGCGTCACTTATTATCATAGCGTGTCTGTCTTCCAGATTTTCAGGAACTGGTATCCCATACATTAATTCCGGAAATCTCAAATGTTTCCACTTGCTATATAATCTTTGCCTTCTCACAGCCCTAAAACAAAAAATTTCCAAACTAACAAATCAACATCTTTTTGGAAAACGAACAACATGGTCTGCAATGAGTCTTACGGAAAGCAAGGCTCGATTGGTGCTAAGAACTTGAAAGTTTAGCAGGCATAAGTCACATAAGACAAAGATGCAACCCAAAACAAAGATTTTTCATATGTTTATCTAGCTTATTGATCGAAACTGCGATTCTTTAACACTGTACAGCTCGTTTGCTCGTTATAATAATATTTCGCTCACCGGCATACGGAACATTGACTCAACCCCGCCGAGTATTAATACCAGGCACTCCACATCGTCCCACACATAATTTTTCTCGAACCTCTTCATCCATCACAAAACGGTTTTTATTTAAAAATTAGAAATCAATTTTATCTGTTATTATCTTCTGGCTTAGTAGGGCGTTAATAATGTGAATAGCTTACCTTGTCACTAATACTGGATTTCTCTCATTTATAAGTTCCCCTAACTCATATAACGTCAAATGGTAGATCAGCTCAGCACTTGGCAACATCCCGTGCTGAACCATTTGTTTCCCCAAGGCTCTGAACCCTAGTCTGATTTTGTTGGTTGCTCTAATAAATTCAGACTTGCTCTGTTCTCTAACACCAACAGCCACTCTAATTTTCTTCATAAGATATTTTACTATGTGTCTTGTAATGTTACTTTTTGGCGATTTCAGCTTTGCTACAATTTCATCCACCGTATGTTTGGAATTTTGTACTTTTTTCTCGTTTCTTGCGTTAGCTTGAAGCATTGGTATAAGCTGGGTAGGATCTTCAGCCCAAGATTTTTCTATTACCTCAAACTGAAATTATTTAAATTTAAAGATATTTCACTGATTTGGTGCCAAACCGGGCGCGTATCGACCACCGTCTTTAGGTGAGAGCATTTCCACACCTTGAATTGCTACCACAGGCTATGGGATCTCTTCCGACGTTAAGAAATTCTGAGAATACGAAATCTTGAGAATAATTACTTGAGAGGTTGCGACGTAGTCTTCAATTGGAATGTTGATAATATGCTTAAGAATGAGCAAATGAAGCGTAGAGTTTAGCATGCTTTTGTCTAATATGGTAATCAGTAATCGAAGATGACGTCTCTTACCTCTCCTAGATTTCTGTGGCCATGTTTGTTAAGGAACTCTAGAAGAACTTTGTTAGCCTCAGGACAGTTTTGCTCTAACCACTCGATTGCTTCATAAGCTTTTAATTTGCAAAATTCTTCAGCAAGTCCATGATCCCGCACAATTTTAGATATACTCTCTAAATACGAAGGTATTTCTGCTGAAACCACATCTTCACATGATGATAATATTGCTGCAAAATCTGCGTAGTGATCCGTTGATAATTCTAGGAAAAATAAAAACCTAAGTTCCCATGAGGAGGTAAGGTACCAACGTTTCTCTGTTCTATTTTAACAAAACCATACGATTCATGCGAATTTATGTGAAAATTTTAAAATTTGTCAAATTTAGGTTCAAGTTTTCATCCATTTATTTTTTTGATTTGATAGTTGTTTTTTAAATTGGTATTGATGGAAAAAAGTAATGAGTCAATCTACTTGACACCATTTCTATCTTGTCTCTGGTACTTACCACTTTGCCTTTCTAGCAATACATTTATCGCTACAACCTGATAGAATACTGATACTGTAGATGTTCTAGAATGACAAAGGGCTACAATCTCCAAATCCTTTAAGGCTTCTTTAATTTTATTATAGATTATAGGCATTGGTCCTTTTAGCTCTTCCAAGCTTATCCTTTTAGCTGCTTCAACACTCTCCTTCAGAATTTGCTTGTTCTTCAAAACTGCATTTATGACTCGAAGAAAGTCTTTCACCTTTGATATGATTGGCGTTATCCCATTTCTTTTTATCAATATATGGTTCAACTTATTGTCCAGAACCGGATGGCCAAAAATAGCTAGATCCAATATCAGTGAACTAACGTGGACCTCTTTTGCTACATTTTTGTGGATTGACTGAAAGTAAAACGACTTTGTATTGAAAACATCCTAGGCTCTATTGTACTAGGACTTCTCAATGTATAGAAGCGTTAATTAATATTTGGTTAACACATCATCCAAAATTTATGTTGTGGTTGTCATGATTGATAAAATTTCATGTTTTAGCCAAATGGAATCGCATATGTAGAAATTACTCTTTAGTGGCGTTTCGGCTACTAATATGACACAATATATTTTATAATCTTTCTGCAGGTGATAGTTCATTTGGTTTTTTCGATACTACCCAACGTGTTGCAACAACAGCCTGCACGGTCCCGTATCATCATCAAAGCAATTTTAAGATCGCAGAGTAGCAAAGCCCAGAACCGCCTATGGTAGGTATTCCCGCTCCCAAAAGTATAATATGTACGAGATCTGTAAATTGAGTGATGAGACTGGCAACGTAGCGTTTGATCTGGCAACACTGGAGGCGCCGGGCTAGGAAGAAAGACAGGGGAACCTTTGATCCCCCTTCAGTATAAGTTTGAAGTCGCTCAAGTCATTCATTAATTGTTTTTATTGTGTTCTAAAAATTAGTGACATTAATATCAAGCACGGTGTGTTATCAGGTTTTGCTTCAGACAGTGCAACGGGAAGTGTTGCCAAACAGGCCTACGGAAATAGTGTTTTTCAGAAGCCCAAATTTTTCGGTGGTTTAATGCACTTTTAGAAGGGAGGGGGTCGATTGAAGATATACCATGGAGCAGAAGGCCTTCATCTTCAAGAACCAATGAAAATATCGACACAGTCCGGGATCTTGTACGTTCGTATCGTCGGTTGACAGTCGGAATGATCGGGGAAGACTAAAATTTGACTCTCACCACCGTTCATCAGGTCAAAGACGAAATCAATGTCAATAAACGAGTTTTTGGTCAGTAAATATATTCCACAGCCTCCTTTTTCGCCTTACTTGAGCTCTTGTGACTTTTTTCTCTTCCCGAAGTTGAAAAATATCCCCAAGGGAATTCATTTTGGGACAGTTGAAGACATTCAAACGGCTGGAAGCGGCCAGCTGAAGGCTTTTCCAGTATCGGAGTTCCAGCACTGCTATGACGAATTAAAGAACCGTCTCCTGCTCTGTGTGGCTTCAGAAGGGAGTCATTTTGAAATAAATATTTTTAAAAACCAGTCTTATCACTCAGTTTACATACCTCGTATAGTAGTGGAAAAAACAAGTGAACGCGTAGCAGACAGATAAGTATAAATATATTGTCTTTATCATTGTGGTCTGAACTTTGGAAAATGCCACCATGGTGACCGAAACGGCAGTATGGTAATTTCTACATATTATCCCATTTGTTAGACATCCTAGATAACTGATCATGAAAATCGTATAAAATAGGAATTATAACCAGAACGTGTTGCAAAATGAACCTTTCCGTAGAAATTGACAAATCGTGTTCTGATTACAAAACGAACATCAAGTAATTCCAATAAATGACTGACGATTTATTTCCATTTCAAATAAATATAGATATATGGATTGCCACCATGTCCTACTCATGGATTGGGGATAATAAGGGATATCCAAGGTCAGCAGCGACAGAAGCTAACTTTAATGTAATATGTGAAACTCATCCTGTTGTTTTCATGCTGATAATTCCACAGTTTTGTCTGACAGAATCAAACCACATATACACTGGAAACCAAATACCACTGACTTCGTAACGTGTAAGAGAGAAGCGTGCAATACGTGTGTTAGAAAGAGAGAGAAGTAAGTACCTCGTTACCTAGCGTACCTAGCGATCCGAGCCCGAGGTTACTACGCACTCTTTCTAACATACATATTGCACGCTTCTCGCTCTTCTCTCTCGTACACATTACAACGTCAGCCAAATTTGAATCTCACTGTATATAGTTAAAATTATTCTTCATTGCTTTACGGTTCGGTCCCAATGGTGACCTTTTTCAGGTATAACTGACACTTTTGACAATATATTTTGTTTTTTAAGAATTTTAAACATATAATATGTGATTTGATTCGACCAGACAAAGATGGGGGATTATAAGGTAACTTTACTTGGCAAGCGGGTAGGATTGTTCAATATGATGATATAGTTGTAGTCACCGTTTTTGGTGGGTCAAAGTAAGACTATCATATCCCTTTGTATATCTCCTTCTCCCCCATATATTCACATACAACCTACCCCTGTGTGTGAACGTTTATTCGGTAAGCTCAAAGACATACGTTCTTTAGTTGTGTGTCTCCGTTGCAAAAACTTTGTCGTTACGTATGAGTGCCCTTCAATAATATTTGCCAGAGTGACAACTTACTTGGCATCGGCGTGCAATTTAGGTTGTCCTGTTATCAATCTTCAATATAAAATTGAACAATGCCCGGAAATACAATCAGTGGGGAAGGCCGACAACTCGTGTTAAATTTATTGGAGAATTTCCAGGAAGAGAATGAATACAGTATTACCCACTTCAGTGCTTAGCGAATAAAATCAGAAATTAAGAAAGGTTATCCCATAGTAACACCTGGAAAAACTCACAAAATCAAAAAATGCAAGACCGATGATGTAAGTGATGCCATCAAAACAGAAATTAGGAATACTTTCCACGACATGAGAAGTAAAGGACGCCATATCACGACCTCTATGCTCAAGATCCGCCCATGGTACGGAGACTAGATCTGTTTACTTATTTCATATGGCGTTGATAACGTAACCGCAAAAAACGGTGACTACAACTATACCATAGTATAAGGAATATGTACTACTGTGGTTAGTCCAAATGTCCTACTTCCTTTATCCACCAAGATCTAAAGTTTTACTTACAGCTACAACGTCCAGCATAGCATGGTGCATAAATGGCCTCAAGCCCTTTGATGAGCAAGGATCATAATTATCTATGGCAAATTTTTGTATGGATGCATCAACTTCTCTTATCACACTTGTCTCTGTCAAAATCGTCATACTATTTGGGATCACCTCTTTCACATTGGCTATAGTAAGAACCGATGTATTTGTGAGGATTGGTGAATCTGTTTCGTGGTCAAACTCGTAATCGGACCATAAGCTCAGAGTTGTGATTGGCCTTGATTGCAGCAGATACAGATTGCCCTAAAAACGAAAGCGTTCTTAAAAACTGAAACTCCTTAGGATTTGTACTGGCTATCCGACGCTTGGATCATACAAAATTTGTCATTTATTTCAAATAATAACAATAAGGCTGCATTGGAATTGACCTTACGGTAAGTGATTTTTTTCATGTAGTCGTCCAGAGGGAGTGTTCTCGAATATCATATGGTCACTGTCGCATGAGAGATAGCTAAAATGTCATTCAGAACTCATAAAGTGCCTTCTTGAATCTCACAATCGACATTCTTCATTCGACAAAATCTCGTGAGGCTAAGACCATGCGTCAAATGACAAAGTAGGAATATGAGTTGATTGATAATACCTACTTTTTTCATTTGACCACCTACAAAGTATGCTAGCGAAATGCGAGTTGCAGTAGTTCGGGTAAATATCAGCAAACGAGCCGTTGTGAGCGTCCATCTAGGGAGGAATAGCTCAACTACACGCATTGTTGGTTGCATACGCTTTGTGAAACCGAGTAGTCTATAGTTTTTATCTCTGAGAAGAAGGTTGGTTGGTTAGCAAGATCGCATCAGGATGATTGTGTGTATTGGTCTGCATGTGTATAAAATCAGTGATATTTGCTGTGTGAGAAAATCATTACTGAATATGCTGCCAATGGAGTATATCTATTAGCTGTGCCCGACGAGTTATTGATATGTTGCTCTTTCTGAAGACAGGTTATGTTCAAAGTTATAAATTACGATTTTTTACGTTTTTTTGTGTTTCCAAAAACTTTCAGGAGAATTACGCGATATCACCTGCACGCCCGCGTTGTGTGTAGGCGTCACGTACAAATACAAAACGAGTTCAGAAAGTGTCCATCAGCTAGTGCCAAGTTAACATCTTGTAGAAAAACCTACACAATGTCACAAAAAAACAATATAATGTAAAAAAATCGACATAATGTCACTTTTAAAGAAACGTAATACCCGTGCGGTACAGCGTAGTACCTAGTATGAATTTTGCAATCTCGTCGTATTGCGATTTTTTTACCTAATAATACAAGTGAAAGATGTGCTTGTAGTTCTTCTTCACTATAAAGTGACTCTAGTGTAAAAGGTGAAAAATATTTGAGTATCCAGATGATCATACCTCACGAAAAGCCCACTCAATATCTCTTGGGTTACCGAAAGCTTCCTCAAGTCGAATCCCAACTTCGCCTAGCAACAAAACTTGTTCTTCGCTTAGACTGAATTGCCCGGCTCTTCTATCACTAATTTCTTTAACCCCATCAGTAGCCATCTTCATGACTATGTTCTTCAATCCCAAACTGCTGCTTGATATAGATAACTTCCCGTCCCAAGTTCTTCGGATAACGAATGTATCAGGATCGCTCTCACCTGAAACGACGGTTTCCCCAAGGCCAAAGTTTGAGGTAACTACCATCTCTTGAGGGTTACATGTTGTAGGATGACAAGTGAAGAGTACCCCAGCACAATCTGCTGGTACCATCTTTTGTACTACAATGGCCATGTCGGATTGAATTGGTAGTCCGTGCTGCCTAAGTAACAAATAGAAGAATCCGTGACTGATAAACAAGAGCTAAGGATACTTGGCATCGATGATCAAGCCAGTGCTCAGTGTTACGAAATGTTTTTCATGGCTTTTGATACTTGGACAAAGCAAGTGATTGTTAGCATTGATTTACGCATTCCACGTGATAATAAGATAACCAATCATATGCTGTATTTTGGCGCTTAAAAATGGATCTGAAAGATACGCGCGCCATCTACGGGATAGGGGCAGACGCAAAAATGATTTTAGAAATCTACTCTGAAAAGAGTTAGAGTACTTAGTTCTGCTAATATCTCATAGTCTCTTTTCGGTGCCTACCTGATGCCAATTAGGTATCTTCATGCAACTACTAACGTATTCTACCTGTAGACATTCAATTAACCTAGGCATTAAATGGGTCGAAAAAGGTATTAAAGATCCTAGCAGAAACAAAATTTAACTCTATTCGAAGTAGATTCCCAAATTAATTCTTGTGTTGTGCTAATGTCTCATAGATGGCGCTAGTACCTTTCAGATACTTGTTTGGACGCCGGAATACAGTATATGGTTGGAATACGTTACTCAATGCTAATTTTGAAACCATGAACTGATCGTATTTGACAGCAAAAATAAAAAATGATTTTTGATTCATGCAAAAAACCCGAGAGTTTAATAGATACTATTTAAACTACGTAAAAATCCACCTTCTTGCTTATACATGCTATAACACGAAAATGTCAGTGTAAAAAATTACAGAAAATACGATACGGACGTCGAACACGAACCAAGAGAATTTAATTTAAGTAAGTTGCTGAAAATATCGTCGGGTTATTGCAAAAAACACAAAGTTTTTAGTACGTAATCGCTATTTGAATGTTTTGTCTTAACTCGGATCGAAAAATGGGGTTATGGAGGCGTAAAGAGTTTATTCAAATTTAAAATTAGTATTTAAGAAAACATAAATTAGGCAAGCGTAAAAAAAGTGTAAAAATTTAATCAACTCAAAAGTACGAAAATGGAGTTATCTTGTTTTCGTAGTAAGCTAACGATATATGAATCTACAGGGTGTCCGCAAAGTTGGGGTTTTCCTTTTCAGAAACAACTACCCTTGACATAACAAAGGTAATGTGTAGTGAAACGTGGCGACCAAGTAAAAAAAAATAAAGGAAAAAGTACTCACTCTCCAGTTGACGAGAAGGGCTAAGTACGTCTCTGCCTGAAATCGAAAGTTATTCACCCCATTACGCGTGAACGTAGATTCGTCTGTCACCAACATGCACTTCAAAAAGTCCGGATTATTGTCATGTTGATGCAACAACCACTCACAAAACCGCACTCTTGCTGGAAAATCGTCAGGTTGAAGGGCTTGTACACGTTGGACGTTTGCCACACTTTAGTTTTTGATACTTGCACGTCTCTAGCCACGTCTCTAGTGCTTGTTGAGGGATTCTCGTCTACGCGATTCAGTAGTTCTTCCTCAACTTGCACCATTCGTGGTTGTCTAGGCCTCCCACTGTGCCCACCTCGAAATTCCTCCAAATGGCCCGTATCCCTGACTCTCTGGACCAGGTACACAAATCTGCGGGGCCTTGGATGATGTCGTCTAGGGAAACGATTCTGTATCATTTTGAAGACATTCGCCATAAATTAACAACATATCATCGAGTTCATTATTGGTGTATGAGTGTGCCATTATTATTTTTTTTTAAAAGCAATCGATTATACGGGTTCATTACCTCTATACCCGTGACCCCTTACCGTCGGTTGAAGGTTGCATACTGACCTGACACACTGACCCCGACCCCCGACCCAGTTCTGTCCTCGGGTTCAGCTAGTAGCCGGTACCAGTCTGAGATATCGCGGGTCGCGGCTACAGGACGGTATTCAGATATTTTTGATGTTGCAGAGCCCTTTATCTCGGTTCCCTTAAGACATTGGTGTATATGGTACTAAGAAAAATTGCTTATGTTTTCAAGATCTACACGTCGTGTAAAGGAAAACCCCAACTTTGCGGACACCCTTTATACTAAACTCGCGGCTCCGCTCGCGTGGAAGTAGTGTAAGGTATAGGTCATTAGTTTTGCATTAGTGCGCAAGAGAAAGAAATACAATATTCACAGTAATGCAGTAGCTACTTTGGCAGTGAACATCTTTTATCCAGCGTTTTATCGCAGCAATAAGTTAATTTCAATGATTGCTTACATAGCACGTTTCTTTATAAAACGTATTTTTTGAGTTGTTTTGGCCATTCTCTATTATCTGGATATCCTTAAGTACCCAAGAAGATCATGATCAAGGTCAAGGGTCAAAGATATACTTTAACGTAAAATTTCCCGCCCTTTACATTTCCGGTGTCAAACATAGGGGCTTCATTCGAGAAGCTTTAGAGCTCAACTGCATTTGCAGGCGGAACCAATTTCACGGCGAATATTTCCGGTAACCTCTTGGTTGGTGCTCGCCACCCCAAATATTGATCATTTACCATCTATACTTGACACTTTGGTAGGTGAAAAGTGAGCCCCAACATGCTAGAACGGAGTCCAAAATTTGTTCAACAGTCTGACAACCTAAAAACGTCTCGTTCTGACCTGCTGCAGATAGTTCCTCAGAGTCTTCTCTTATAGCTGATGATCTCACTGCCCATCCACTTTTCATATCGCTGTCGTATATCTTAAGTTGGTTTTTGATCGCTTCTTCTATTTCTTCAGCAAGCTTAGAACTTTTAAATAATTCAACTGACCTACAAGAGTTCATAATTACAAGTAGATAGAAATATCCTCAACAATTTCAAGAGAACGTATAAGCATTTGTATGTTCAACAGTCTTCAGCTTTAGCAATATATAGGGTAAAAAGCACTATAATAAAAATATCTCAAACTTCATTTTTTGGCTTTTCAGAGGCTCCTGGTCATTTTCAGAAGAGATTCTTCTACGGATAAAAAAATTGGGGATTGGGCGTTGTAAGGATGGGGAGGGTATACACCATTCCTTAGCTTACCTTTTGCATACATTTTCCAATACACCCTCGCTTTTTCCACAACAAATGTCGTCTATCGATGATATTGCTTTCCGCAATTCCGGATACTTTGCTAATTGTTTTTTGTATGAATTGACAGTAACAATGAACCCTTCTGGTACTGAAAACTAAAAATAGTATATTATATAACGATGTTGATAAGTAAGCCATTATTGAACGTGTACTCAGTGGACATTTTGTTCAATACCTATTCCATCATAACTTTTTTGATACCTACCATTTGCGAATTCAAGGATGTCAGAAGTGCCAAGGAATTTCCTTTTCCACCTGTCATGCTTAGGACTTTTGCATGATCACTCTGCATATCGACGATTAGATCATTAGGTAAAGGACTGACTTCCTTCTCGTGAAGCCTTGGCAGTGGTATATAAAAAGTGGAACCTAAAAAGATGATTTGAATGAAGAAAGTGGCTCATTTTGAAAAAAAACAATCTTTTTTATAAAATTAACCTTTGGCTTGGTGATTATTGACATGTTTTTTTTTTAATTTTACTTTGATAGTGACGTTTTTATAGTGAAGTTCATCACTACCTTTTTTCTTGTACCAAAATTCTACAATGCCTTTGCCCTGGAAACAGTTAACGTCACACTCAGCTGGTACATTGAATATTTCATATCCGTATTTTCTGTCGATTGCACCAGTGGTCATTCTTTTTTTATTCAAATGGATGATGCACTTGAAGACTCTCTTCTCCGTCTGTACATGCACTGTCATCATTTCCGGGAAAACTTTGTCAGGTGCTATATCGACAAGTCTTATATCAATGCCTTTTAATGTTAGAAGCTTGTAGTCGCTCGTGTATACAGTTCCATGATTTACCCTACAAGGTAAAGTAGTTGTAAGCAAAATAGTATGCTTTAAATAATTTGAAATTTTGTAAAACTTCTTCATCCATATTTTGCTGGTCAATAAATAAACACACGATAACTTTATGAATCTTCATGACTCACTGGCCACCAAATAAAACTACAGATGTAGTATTGTAGATTTACTAACGTTTCAGTCATCGTCATTACGTCATTTTTGATTGCTACTTTCAAAACGGGCTACCGGGGTGGCCAAAATGTTAGTAACTCGAAAATTCTATAGTATCGCTTATTTGGCAGACAGTGGGATTCATCAGAAAGACAAGTAAAAAATGAGTTTCAGGCGTTACATTATCATTAACCATAGCCTTATGTTCTGACTGCCCCGGAAGTCTTTTTCAAGTGACAGGACGAAAAGAACAATGGCCAGGAGAACGTTTTGCATTCGTATTTTTGATGTATTCAAATATTGATCAATATCGTCTTTTTTTTCTTACCAATCAAACGTTCAAGTAAAATCTAACTGAACGATATTTCTTCCACTTACTGAGAGCATCCTTCTTCAAAAGACTTTAAAATTAAGTGTATCAAATTGCCATATTCGTCCACAATAAGGATTTTAAGCGCCCTGTTTACTATGAACCTGTCTCCGATGCCAAAGTCCTTTTTCCGACAACATGGTAGGTTCAGATAGTATTCTGTGGAGTCATTTCCAATTTTCACTAGGCCCTTCAGAGCTCCAAACTGATCAAATCCTATTTGATGTTCCCTAGAAATTATCGAAAGTAATAGTATAACCATTTATTAACGTATTCTACCTAAAAAGAGCCAACGTGAAGTTATATTCTCGAGTCCAAGAAATTATCCGAGATAAAATGATACCGTGGTTGGTACTGAAAAGCAGCTGTTAAGCTGCATACCCGCCAGGTTAATAAAGGTCTTTTATTATTATTATTAGTTACCGTGGCATCTCTATTTACTATCTATACTTTGAAAAGGTTTGTGTCTCATAGATGGCGATGTAGTGTATGTGATACTAACATTTTCAAAGTATAGATAGTAAATAGATGAGCAGCTCTGACAAATTCTCATAAGGTATCTCATTTTATGTCGGATAATTTCCTGGACGTGGGAATATGGCATTAAGTTAGCTGCCATCAGGAAGAATACATTAATCAACGTCAGTTTATCGGATATTTTATACTAATTTAAATTCTCAGGAATCTGCCTTGGTTTATATTTCGAACCTGTGAAGATTGTTGCCAAGTATCTGGCATTGCTTCTTTCTACTATTGGTACCGTTTTTGATATCCCAGTGGTGAGAGTCGAAACAGTAAAGGTTATTTTACTCCTTATTTGAGTTACTATTAATTGTATTACGCATGTAAAATAATATTTACAGTAAATTGGCCCAAGACCCGTCTCTCCAGTACTCTTGTGCAAGCGAACTGGCAAGCTGACTTGCATCAACATCCTGTGGTATGAAACGTGGTGAGGCAGCAGAGTTGAATCTGGAATATAACACGTTACATGGTTCTCTTGTACTTTTCGCTGGTTTTGGAAACTCACATGAATTTGAAGATCACATGTTCATTTTGTTGGCTAGAGGCATTTTGTAATAGTCCGTTGAATGTTATCCTCAATCTTCTAAATGGTTCCAAGGTCTCTATTTCCAACCCCTTAGCTTTCCATTGCTGCTTAGTGATATTGGTTTCTACTATGTGATTTTTTTCTACAATGGTAGTTTTAAACATGAAAAATAGTTTTTTGTGATAAATTGCTACTAAGCTACTACCTTTATGATTTTTTCTAGTTACTATATTAAAAATCAAAAAGACAAATAGTTACTAAGTATGAAACTGATAAAAAACAAGACAAAAAAATGGTTATCCCGAAAATATACAATACCCAGATCAATATTCAGTTTGTTTGTCAATTAGGCATTTTGAACCTAAACAAACTTGTATCTGAAATAGATGAAACATGTTGTTAACATCCATTTTTGAAGAATGATGCAGCTTACCTACGTTTTTTTATTAGAAAAGAAAACGTATTGGCCAGAAAGCCATTGCCATTTGATTATTATTGATCGGGACTTAACGAAAGCTCAACCTTCAGAAGTATGATTACATTCTGACGATAGGGCATAGAAAATATAATTATCAGGCTGGAACACGCGAAAGGATCAGGGTTTATAAGCGGGATTTTTTTATACTCCAACCACCTAGGCCTAAATACCAATGAGGTACCGAGGGGCTGTAGGGTGATACAGAGGAAAGGGGGAACGCCACTCGGACTCTGGCGAGAAAACACGTGTACATGTAACATGCACACATTCTGGCCCCGCCTACGAGATCCGCCGAGTGGTACCACTGGGTTCGTCAGTCAGAGACCGTCTACCTCCTACGGACGATCACAACATCCATAGCCAAGAGAAAAATTTCTTTTGGGACAGGATTCAAACCCGCACAGCGCACGGCAGCTAATCAGGAGACCGAAGAGTACTACTGCGGCCACCGCTGCTGAAAAAATCGCCAGCCTCTAGTGGTGGTCACAATGGTGACTAGGCTGTCAAACTCGAAACAAATCTCAGGTTGATCGCATATATCAAATATTTGCGTTCAAACATTTCAGAACATATAAATTTTAGGCTCTCATCGTTTTTCTAGTACTTGATTGTTTTTGAAAGGCTCAAACTGTTCAATGCATTTTTGTACAAAATTGACCAATGTTCAAATATCTAACTTAGTATTTTTATATGTGCGCTTGGTCGTCTAAACTTTCTCATTCAAATATATGACAAAACATAATTATATAAAAATAAAACTAATCAATACACAATTCTAATCAGACTTCAACCTTTGATTTTACATATGCTTTGTGTCTTAGTGTTTTATTATAAGCTAAATATTCGAAAATGGGTGAATTCTGAACAAAGGTATTAAAATTGTGAACCTTGGACTTTCAGGAAGCAATCAAAATTTTGTAGATGCGACCATCAAATTAAATGTACACAAGGTGTATACTTTCAGGAGGGAAGAAATTTAAATTCCGTCCAATCATATATTTGGAAAATAACCCACGATCATTTATTTATATATATATTTTGTAAGCGCTGAGTTCATCCTGCTCTTATCTTGAAATGAATTCAAGTTTAGTGTTCCAGTCTATAAGCTATAAAGCATCTCGCAAGGTCCTCCTTCCAATATGACTTCCTGAATCATATCTTAAAATGCTCTGTATTCCATTTTTGCTGTACCTGGAAATACATAAGTGCAGCCATTCTCCAACCGGATACATAAAAATATTTCAACGATGTTGTCGACTCCTATCGCAAACTTCAACGACAAACAATTTCCGTTTTGATCGGCCCCATAAAAATGATGCATATTTACATGCTGCAAGATAAAAGGATATATTTGTAAGCGTATCACTACATATTTTTGTAACTTATTGTTTAATACGTAAATAGTCTAGGAGATTAAAACCTTTTTCAAAATGTGTATAATCGTGCAAGTAAAAGAAAATATATTTATATTTCTGCTGGAAGTAATCACAGTTAACTGTTCCTATTGGGTATATATTGTTTTCTTGCTTTATCAGGCCATTAGTTATCTTATGAGTCAAAAAATATTTTTAATTACATCTAATTTTTCAGTAATTCTAGTTCTCCTTCAAGATTATTAGAGGTGTTCGAAGTCTCCTATTTCTGTATTTTTCGCCTTAGGATCAGAATTTAAAGATGTTTTTGTATCTTATTAGTTGTCTAACTGAAGGGTACCTCATGTTTCTGTGTTTCAAATACTTTATGCGTCTAGGGAAAGTATTTGCTGATATTTGGTACCCAATCTAGGTAGGTTTTCGTATATAGAAGCATTTGTGTAGTGTCTCGCTATTTATTTTTTGAACAGGTCAAATGAGCAAGCAAAAATTTGAGATGATGAAATTTATGGGTTCGCACTATGTTTAATGAATAAGTAATCATCAAAACTCTCTAGTATATAACATCAGTCTTCGTGTTTTAGAAGAGAGGGTGTAAATAAATAAAATGTATTTTTCAAATGTAGTGATATGATATACGAAATAGGGTCTTGATGTCTGGTTATTGACTTGTGAGTCAGTATGGGAAACAGCCAACTAAGCCGCCGTTGTGAAATTTTATATTCCAGGGTTCTATGTTAAAGTACTCGTCAGAAGCTCCAAAATCATGCGCCATATGTTTCCCATTCAGTTTGATAAAAAAAATGGCACAAAGCTGCCATTTAAACATTATCGAACTGTTACTGTTTGTTGTCACAAGAATGATGTAGAACTAGAAAAATTGGGAAAACAGCCTGCAATCTAAATACTGTTGCCACCCATTATTATTGACATTACTTATTATTCTTCAAGGTTCCAGGCTATCATTACGTATATAATCATACAATAATTAAATAACTAATGTGTACATACATGCACGTGTGGATAGCAACCACCTTTGTTGTCTCAAGAATTATGTAGAACTAGAAAAATTGGGAAAACAGCCTACAATCTAAATATTGTTTCCACCCATTATTATTGACATTACTTATTATTCTTCAACGTTCCAGGCTATTATTACGTATATAGTCATACAATAATTAAATAACTGATATTTACATACATGCACGTGTGGAATCAATATATTTGTCTCAACGTCATTGCCTAGACGATTTATGTATTTATGCCATTTCTTCTGATAGTATTTTATCTTCCTTTTGGCTACTATGTATTTAATCGGATAGACAATATCTGAAAAAAACACTCAATTATGGTATCAAAGTTATTTCAATCTCCGTTATGTGCAATCAAGGTGCCCAACGCTTTTTTGCATGCAAATGTCCATGTCCATGCTGTATATTTTAGTTAAAACTTTTTGTATCTCTTTTGGTTGTGTGAGCTTACTCGTATAGTGCATTTAAAGGCTGATCCTGTACGAGGGATGTCCTTTAAGTTTTGCATATGGAAATAAAACAACACGGTAGGTGGTTTTAAATGACGTTATTGTTTTTGCTGGCTGATCCAAAACGGCATTTTTGAATGCGTCAACTGCTTCTTCTGGTGACTGGAACCTTTGACCACGCAGTCTGTTTTTAATTTTCGGGAAAGTAAAGAAATCGGTAGGACTTAAATCGGGACTATATCGAGGATGGTCCAATAAAGCCACGTTTTATTCCGTTAAATACTGCCTTGATTTTTGAGCTGTGTAAGAGCTTGCATTGTATTGGTGGAGGATTATTCGTCTTTCCTCTTCCTCTTTCTTTAAAAATTCACTGTAGTGAGAACACTGCACGTATTGTTGTGAAACTTTGAATTTAAGTTTACTAAAGAGTGTGGTTAAGATTCAGTACTGACGTTCGATCGACGCGGCCTACTATGTTTCTATATGCAAAACTTAAAAGACACCCCTCTAATGATGAAGGGTGAATACTCGTATGCCAGTGGTCGGAAAGTTTAGACAAAAGTGTAATACAAATTGTAATTGCGAATTTTGTGTTCAAGAGAGAAGAAGGTGATCGTAATATGTTGTTAACTTTTCGCCGACAACAAATACATTGCTTTTAGATATTCCTGTAGTTTTATAAAAAAAAAAAATAACTAAAAAGGTGCTATCTTGCCAGTACTCGGACAGACGGTGCTACTAGACGGCCGGCTAGTTTCCAATTGTCGGACAGCATTTGAATGATAAATTTTAGACAGAACTATTTAAAACTTTGTGGTAGTAGAATAGATATTTCAAATCAGTCGTCATCAAGACTTCGAGGAAAAGGAATTAAACACACTCAAACTGAATCCATTTAATATAAATTGAAACTATTGTTTTCCTTTAATCCAGTTCTGCACTGCAAACTTTGCACTACCATACTCTCCTACATATTTCAAGCAATTTCCCAACATTTTCCACAGGTTCAACTGTCCGTTAGCCTGCCTTTACTCTATATATGCACTTTATTTTTTCTTGGTATCCATTCACAAATGATGTGGAAATGTGAAAACTTGCATCAGTCTCGTGATTAAAATGGTGGGAAAATTGAACTGGCCCGTTATTGGGATGTTATGAAAAGTCGTTCATTCTAGTAGTCAGACGCAATATGACTGGCCATCATCTGCTTCACTTGTTATCTGCGGCTGTCCGTCCACTGGATGCGTAAATCCAAAAGAGAAGTTTGGTAGTCCCTATGTTTAGGCAGAAGAGGATAGATTGATAACAACCACAACATTCCAGTAGTCGGAGACTTGTCCGTTACAAAACATTTCAACACAGTCTAAAGGCTTATCATTAACACTTAAAGCTTCGCGACAATCGTTGATGCCTATTGAAAGCACTGTCCTAACTATGAAATAATATTAAGGGCGCCTTCTGTATGTTATATCATGTTTCGGAACCTCACAATAAAAATTAGTAATATAGCTTCTAATTATCCGACCGCAGACGGCCAACCATGGAGAGCTGTTTCGTGCTATTTGACAACTCATTAGCATGTTATAGGCTTGGCTTCGGAGGACAACAAATGAAACGTGCGCAACTATACTCTATTCGGGTATAAGGTTTATTGACATACGACAGCACAAAGTTATCATAGATGACACTTTGCCCAATGAAAATCAAGTATTTGATAGTAGCTATCACACTCATTCAAACTCTCATTGCTCCAGGTATACGATTTTCAGAAGATGTACTTACTGATCGATTGTATTATTTGTATTAGTTTGCCAGTTTAGAATGTAACTATCTGATCAGACAAACTTCATGAATCGGTTTTATTCAAGAGTTCAAAGTGGATGGGTATGCCTCTCAGAATTGTTTGATACTTATATCTGATCAAACAGAGAATCTGTTAAATTGATGCACTTCATGAAATCAGCATTAGATGGATCTTAATCAAGCGGATGAGCAAACTTTGTAGAGCTTATTAGGCGTAACTAATCTACTGTTTGATACCTACACCTAATCAAACAGAGGTTGTTAAACTGACAAACTTCATGAAATCAGTTCTAGATTGGTTTTGGGTGTTGAAAGCGAATGTGTAAATTTCTTAGAGCTTAGTAGTCAATAGTGGATCGCGTGATACCTGTATTTGAAGTTTTGTTAATGATTATTGTTTCACCGTCACTCTTACCCTTTTCACTACATCTAGTGCTTGCAACGTCCTTTTTCCAAAAGACAAAATACAGCACCCACGGCGTTATAAACAACGCAAAACAGTACCCGGTATAGTATAGTGTTCGTAGCATTACTGAGAGCATTTTCATTGAACAAATTAGTGGCTGTCGACCTTGCACGCTGGAAATGGGTCCCGAGACTGAGATAATCCAGCACTATCAATGAAATTATCATCAGTGTCGCTCGCTGCAAGTTAGACAATTCAAAGCTATCATTTTGGAGGTACTTAAATTACAGGTGGATCTCTAGTATTAGCTCGTTCTTAATAATGCTGATACATTTTATATCAGAGCACAATACGAGGTGTGTTAAAAAATAACCACTTTTCAAAATGCGTGGTAACAAAAAATTATAGCGGTTGTTTGAAAGTACGAAACACTGAACATATTGGATTTAATGACCGGTCCGTTTCAGTGAAAATTCGTATAGTGGTAGTTCATGTTGAGCTAATGGGCGCATGGCCCAGAAATGGTGCTGGAGATACAAAGTGATAAAGTCTGGTGAGACTTCCTGCACTATTTTACGAAAACTAAAACTAACTCCTCTTTATTGTCGACTTGACGATACCATAAAAATCCTGTAAATTTATACAATGTATACAGGGTGTCCCAACGAAACATTAAAGTAGCTTAATAGACAAACTTTAATAGATACTAAAATATTTGTGACAAAACATTTTTTTTTAACTAGGTACCTTATATTTTATTATGTATAATCAGATAACAGTCCTGATAAAGCGGTATTGAACTTGATATCAGAGGAGAGTTAGAAAACCGCATATCTGATGGTGGTCATTTAAATTGCTTAAGAAAAACAACGTTTTGCAGCAGCACCCCGAGAAAGTTAGCGTATTTTTTCATTCTAAAATTCAGTGAAAAAATACGCAAAGCGGCAGAAGTCAAAGCCTTCATGGATTGTCATTTCTTCATACAAATGATAAAATAACTAAACAAATAACGATCAAAATCCTACAGTATATTTTGTCAACTTTCTTGTTTACGAACGGTCTATCCAAATATCTAAGATAATTTAGGCTGTTCCATTGAAAGAAAACAAGTTTGTTGTGCCACGGAGCTGTGCAATTTTCAAATAATTCAGATATTATTACCTTTAAGATGTTAATCTTGCTGCGCAAACCGTTTTCGGATATCTGATATTGTTTTTCTATTTAACAAGTTCAATTGTCACTGGGACCCGTGTATACCAGGTGTTTCAAATTCGATCCTCTCTATTATTACCTCAGAAACGATAAGAGATACTAAGTAGCCTGAATGGGGGCAAAGTTGCATATTTAGGTGATTAACAAAATGCCGATTAAAAAGATGCTAAATTCAAAGTACTTCAGGAGAGAGATGAAAAAACAAATTTGCCTAAAATCATTTTGATTTTTTCCTGACTTTATGCACAGTGGAATTTTAAAATAAATTGCACGTTGACATTGCCACTTTTTCTCCTTTACACAATGGAATAATTATAATTTCACTACGATGTTTCATCTCTCGCCCTCCAGCAACAACTTTATCTTTTCTTATAGGCGTCATATTGTATTTTTGCACAGATAAATAGAGTTTTTATTTCTGATTTCATGAATGTCTAATAGGTTATACATAATTATACAATAAAAAACAGAATATCCTATCCTAATATTACTATCAATAAAATCTTCATTTTGTGTTCAGGTTTCACTTTACTTCTTTATATGCTTATAATTCTCTTTCCAACAACAAATATTCAGTGTCAACTATGGAAATACATCACTGAATCTAGGACTGAAAACTCCAGTTAAATGAATAAAATTCCAATATAGCATCCATATGAAAAAGCATAGTTGGATTTGGGAGTCGAAAGAGGACACCTCGAATTGAAAATTTGACTACGCCATCTTGTAATATGGTGATAACAATAATAATCATAAATTAGCAGAGGTACATCATAGCAGATATTCACAATGTTGTTCGTTATTTTGTAGGCAAAGCCTGACTCTTCTCTGAACATTGTTCAGCGCTCAGTTTATTATGAGTTTGGGATAAATCTGGTAGGTATACGAAACAAATGACTATATGATAATTTCAAGGCCCACCTAGAAAATTCTGCTTTTTCGAAATTATTTAGGTTTGGTTGGTCAATGTAGGACGTATCATACATTGTTGAAATCAGAATTAAAAACTCTATCTCATCTCTACATCCAATATGGCATCCATAAGAAAAAATAAAGTTGATGCAGGAGGACAAGAGAGGAAGCGTCACATTGAAATTCTAATTATGCCATCCTGTAGGGGAGCAAAAGTGACAATGTCACTGTTCAATTTATTGAAATACCAGTAGAATCAGGCCAGGAAAAAAATAAACATGTGATCGGTACAACATGAACGATGAGTGTGTGAATCTTCTTCAAAGTATATGTTTTTCACATGGTCCAAAATATCTATTTTGGGCTTCCATTGTCTATAATAGAATTTGAGTTACACTACTCTTCGATCGATATATCTTCAATCGTATTCATGTGAAGTTTAAGTCGTGGCGTCGTGCGGATGCCAAAACCTCCGACTGACTGAAGGGAACTTGCAGAAGGCGCTGGGATCTTAACTTTGAGCGAGAAACTGAACATGCATCGAGTTTCAGCAAAATGTGTTACTCGTTTGATGACCGAATTGCGGACTGAAAATCGAGTAGAAGTTTGTTGGGAACTCCTTCAATAAACCAAGGACGGCGACACGATTCATAGACCTCATACGGGTGTGGAGAGTTGTGTTTACGGATACGACATCGAGAGAGAAGTTCAATCATCACAGTGGGTTGGCAAAGGATCTCTAGGACTGTCCCGATACGTCAAGGTGATGGTTACCGTTTTCACTACATATGCCACTGGGCGAGGAGGTATTGTAATTTCAAAAAAAAATCTAAATTAGATTTTATGTTTTTTTGGATGTAATCTGACGTTCGTCACGAAACACCATCTCACTCATGTCCGTCGGTCTGCCTGTATGTCTGTCCGCTAATCCTTGACTCAACTATAACTTGGGAAGTTCATGTGGGATTTGGGGGTTGAAAACTGGAAGGTTGGGGTTGTAAATCTTACGTCTTTTGTATCACTCAAAGACAATGGAAAAATTAACTTATAACAGTCCCATTTATCATGTGCTCGTAATTCGGACTAACTTGCAATCGTTGGCGTTGCGTGCACGTCGCGACGCTGCATCGGAATATTCATATTAGCGATGTGCCGAGAACGGTTTGACTCGAGTCAGACTCGATTCCTGCTTTAGAACTCGCCTACTCGAATACCAATTTATTTTAATTCGAGTACGCCGGACTCGATTCCGGTACTCGAGTCAGGAAGAATCGATTCGTACTCGCTAACTCGATTCTATTTATGCGAGTCCAACTGACTCGAGTCTCGTACTAGAATTTGGTTAACTCGGTCGTACTCGCAAACTGTTTACTTAGTGTACGGCCACGAGGAAGCTAGCGAAGAGGAAGACGGAAAGTACTTCGGATTTTGGAGGCGTATTTTAATTCGCAAATTCCATCAACAGTACAGAGCCCAGGTGACGGTGGTGTTATTACGAAAAAATGTCTCTTGCTAATAATTTATATTTATATAAAATTCTACATTCTTCTACATTCGTTTATTTACCTGGAATATCCATGTGTCTCGCAATTTCGGTCCATAGTTTATCTAATATACCTCTGTTATGGTGTTGTGGATGTGAAATATCCCAAACTGGTCGGCTACCAAACACTTCACTAGTTAAAGTTTCACAATTCATTTTTCCACGTTTACTTCTCTTAAAACAATAGGATGTGTAGCCATACCTATATAATTTAACTCAATCGAACGCTCCCTAATCCTATCCGCTTTCTTCTCCGATCCGCTCCGCTATCCACCTTATGCGTGGCCGCACACTTAAGCAATGAAGTGGCGCGGCGCTAATAATACAAACAAGTTTGAACCTGGATCTTTTTATTTTGATTTCTTTGTTTTGTGTCAGTTACCAGTTTGTTATTGTGAGTACTGAGTTCTACAGAGTGAAATTATTTAATTGTTTTCATTTTTCCCTTTTGTTCTAAAATCGGACTCTAGTTCTGGACTAGAATTTTCAGACTCGAATTCTGGACTCGAATTTCTACCAAACATAGAATTCGAGTGCTGGTCTCGAATCAGGGAATCGAGTCATGATTCGAATACCGTATAAACTGACTCGAGTCGACTCGATCCATCAAAACAGCGACTCGGCACATCACTAATTCATATAAAGGGTGTTCCATCTATTGCATCTTCTTGCAACTACCATATTTTGAATGTTAAATGTGTCAACTGCCATGTGTTTAGCACATATGAACTGTCAAGGGTCTGCCATTTGTTATTATGGATTCTTTAACAACGCAAGAACGCATTTTGGTCGTCCAAAAATATTACGAAAACGGACGATCTTTAAAAAGTACTTTTCGCAAACTTTGTGATGAGGTTGGTCGACATAATCGTCCCACAGTGCGTGGAATTCGGTAGATATTCAATTGTTTTGAGGAAACCGGCTCAGTTGAAGGTCGTAGAACATATCAACATGCCTGTCAGGTACGTACACGTGAATCAGTGGCCGGTGTGAGTGAACAGCCGTCAACTTCGATAAGACACCGTTTGCAAGAATTGGACATCAGGCCAACAACATTATGGAGGATTTTACATGTTGATCTCCATCTACACCCAAACAAGATCCAACTAACAATTGAAGCCAGCGGACCATCAGCAACGGCGTATTTTTGTTAATTGGATGCTGGAAAAAGGAGAGCGATGTTCGGCTAAAATCATCTTTTCAGACGAGGCACATTTTTACCTCAGTGGCCATGTAAATAAGCAAAACTCTAGGATTCGGTGTTTGGAAAATCCACACTAGATCCATGAACAACCTTTCCATGATCAAAAAGTAGAGTCATGTGGGGTAACTGTACGCAATTTCTAGTAAATTGCTTCCAGAATAAAAGTTTTAGTTAATTGAAAAAAATCAACATTTAATCTAATGTAAATAAATCTTTATGAACAGAAACAAAACATAAATTTTTAATTCTAATAATAATTGTTATTTTAATTGAAACTTTTAATCATCAAGGGAAATGCGGACACTTACCCTTATCAGTGGGAAAGTGTCCGCATGCCTTCGGTTAAGTGTACGCAACAACGACAAAGTGTACGCACAACAGA